GGATCTCGGTGGGATGGAGTGACTTTATCACCTTGTTGGTTGGTTTCTCTGTGGGATGGAGTGACTTTATCACCTTGTTGGTTGGGATCTCGGTGGGATGGAGGGACTTTATCACCTTGTTGGTCGGTTTCTCTGTGGGATGAAGCGACTTTATCACCTTGTTGGTTGGGATCTCGGTGGGATGGAGTGACTTTATCACCTTGTTGGTCGGTTTCTCGGTGGGATGAAGCGCCTTTATCACCTTGTTGGTTGGGATCTCGGTGGGATGGAGGGACTTTATCACCTTGTTGGTCGGTTTCTCTGTGGGATGGAGTGACTTTATCACCTTGTTGGTTGGGATCTCGGTGGGATGGAGTGACTTTATCACCTTGTTGGTTGGGATCTCGGTGGGATGGAGGGACTTTATCACCTTGTTGGTCGGTTTCTCTGTGGGATGGAGTGACTTTATCACCTTGTTGGTTGGGATCTCGGTGGGATGGAGGGACTTTATCACCTTGTTGGTCGGTTTCTCTGTGGGATGAAGCGACTTTATCACTGTTTGTTGGTTGGGATCTCGGTGGGATGGAGTGACTTTATCACCTTGTTGGTCGGTTTCTCGGTGGGATGAAGCGCCTTTATCACCTTGTTGGTTGGGATCTCGGTGGGATGGAGGGACTTTATCACCTTGTTGGTCGGTTTCTCTGTGGGATGGAGTGACTTTATCACCTTGTTGGTTGGGATCTCGGTGGGATGGAGTGACTTTATCACCTTGTTGGTTGGGATCTCGGTGGGATGGAGGGACTTTATCACCTTGTTGGTCGGTTTCTCTGTGGGATGAAGCGACTTTATCACCTTGTTGGTTGGGATCTCGGTGGGATGGAGTGACTTTATCACCTTGTTGGTCGGTTTCTCTGTGGGATGGAGTGATTTTATCACCTTGTTGGTTGGGATCTCGGTGGGATGGAGTGACTTTATCACATTGTTGGTCGGTTTCTCTGTGGGATGAAGTGACTTTATCACCTTGTTGGTTGGGATCTCGGTGGGATGGAGTGACTTTATCACCTTGTTGGTCGCGTGCTCCGTGGGGTGGAGTGATGTCATCACATTGTAGGATATGTTCCCCATGAGTTGGGTGGACGTTATCACGTTCTGGGGTCTCTTGTCGGTAGGTTTGACTGAATGTCACCTTGTTGTGTTCTTTCGTTGTCGGTTCAACAGAATTTGTTACATCGGTATTTATGTTCACTGTTAGTTGCACTGACGTTATCGGGTTGTTTGGCTTGTGTCTGTTGGCGGAACTGACAACATTTGTGGTTGGGGTTAGGTTCCACCTCCGACAGGACAAGAGGGATTTAGTGGTCTCCCACATCGGTGTGTACAGAGGCAGATAGAAACAAAATCGGAAACAACTGTACACATTGTTCAGCAAAAATGCGATAGGATTCAGTACTCTGAAAACATAATGTGCCAGGTCTGATTTTGAAGAAGACAGGTAACCAATTTGAACAATTGCAAATAAAACAGCTTGAATGATAACCACTACAAAGGTCAGTCTCATCAATTTCAGCTTCCTTCGTGTATCAGACATGGCTCTGAGTGTGTAATCTGGTTGCACTCGTTTCCTGTGATGGTTAACCTTCAACAGTAGCGCAATACTCCCTGTTATTATCAAAGAAGTTTCAAGAAGGTACCCCACTGTCCACCATGTTGTTACAGCGTTGGGGTTGGGATATAATAAGAATGTTTCACAGCCCAATACAGCAAAAAAGTCATAGGACAGAGGTATAAATCCCCACACAAAGCACAGTATCCAAGTTGTTGCGATGATGGTAGCAACCCTTTTATAGGTAACGAGAGTCTTGTAAGAAGTTCCATTGCATACAGCCAGACACATATTGATGTTGATGACAAAGAGCAGGAATATGCTTACTGATATAGATATTTGCATGAGCACCTGTGCAGTTTGATTCCAAATGCTACCTCGCGCCGTCGTCCTGGTATAAACAAACACCACACTGGACACATGTTGTATTAAAGAGGCTACCTGTTCGTTCAATAGCAAAACTCCGGAGAAGCCCTTGAGTGATGGCGTCATCCTGATGATTACAAGGAGGAAGACTGTGTTGGCCAAACTCACTGATGCAACTAGATATATTAAAATATAACCGGTGCAGCGCTCCATATCTCTGATAGATGACTTAACACACAGGAACCAAATCTACTGCCAATGCAGCAGCAAAATATATGGCCAATGGTAACGGGAAAGCCTCTCCGTTTACAAGTGACTTGGAAATACATGTAGTTGCAATATCAAGCGGTGTCTACTGTCTACCATGCCATTCTAGTTTGCATTGAAACATTCCTCCTAATGAGTTTCGAACGTGGACGTAGATCTGACGCAGCCGGTGTAACCTTCACCCTTTCGTGACAGCAGCATGCACTATAAGAACATGTTAAGCAGTACATATATCATTAGTTCCTGTTACCATTGGAAGACTTCCACTAATGAGGTATTTGGTCTTGGAAATATGACCTATCGTTACTCCCTGACTCGTGAGTGTATGGAATTCTTCGTACAGTTTCTGATTACGCTTTCTAAATTATTGGTAAACCAGTGTTAGAAGCGTGGTCTGAAAATAACAAACAGCAAAATCTGCCGGTTGTCATCACATACTATGTTGGTGGTTGTCATAACATACTAAGATGTCTAACTCTCTTTACTTGGTTCAGACCACTTTAGCTTAATAAAGGTATAAAAATCTACGTCCAAATTTCGCTCTATGGAAATGCCTAGAAGTCATTGTCCATTAAGCTTCGTGCTTCTTTATGAACCCGTGAACGCATTTCTATTGGCAATTCTAATTCAATTCAGTATGTAACACGAGTTCTGATTGGACATACTATGTATGTCTAACTCTTTTTACTTGGATCAGACCACTTTATCTTAATAACGGTATAAAAATCTACGTCCAATTTCGCTCTATGGAAGAGCTCTATGGTACTACGCAAATTGGGATACGATGACATGTGTCAACCAAGTCAGCGAGCCTGACCACCCGACTCCGTTAGTCTCCTCTTACGACAAGCATTGGTTACTGCATGAAATCGGATTTAAACACCATGAAAGTGGACTCCACACATTGTACTAATGTGGGCAATCGGTGTGACGAGCCAACGCTTTAACCACTAGGCTACCCCACCACCCCAAATGATAAAGGAGTGAGTGAGTATGGGTTTACGCCGCTTTTAGCAATATTCCAGCAATATCACGGCGGGGGACACCAGAAATGGGCTTCACACATTGTACCAATGTGGGGAATCGAACCTGGGTCTTCAGCGTGACGAGCCAACTAATGATAATAGAAGTTACAACAGCGTATCATATACATGTATGGCGTCACCCGAGCTTGAACTCTCTGTTCGAATAGTCATTGAATACCCATGAAGATCCGATTTAGAACTGGTCCTCAGCTATCATGCTTGTCGCTGGATAGCGGTTAAGATGAAGATGAAGATCCGGGTTAGAATATTGATCTTCAGTAACCCATGTTTGTCGTAAGAGGCGACTAACGGGATCAGGTCGTCAGGCTCGCTGACTTGGTTGACACATGTCATCGGTTCCCAAATGCGTAGATCGATGCTCATGTTGTTGATCACTGGATTGTCTGTGTCACATACTAGAGTAAAAACAAACCCCTAATTTAAAAGTTAATATCATTTATTAACTAAATCTACCTTACTTACAATAGTTCAAAGGGACTTGCATTCCCAACTTCATTCTCACATCACCAAACACACCCACACTCTTTCCCCTACACACACAAGCACGCACATCATATATACTCACCATTCACATATACTCCCATATATTCACATCACAACTCACATCAACCCTCAAAATATCACAACACTACAAATGTCTTTTTAAAGAAACAAACAATTCATATCATTACATTATATACACGGACGATGGAAGAATTAAACAAATTCATTGAAAGCACAAATCAATAATTATTGTATACTGTACAGATCACTGTCGGTGTTGTTATCACCACAAGTGGGATTTTCAGACAGTTCAGTTCTGTAGTGGTAGGTTAGGGGTCCTTCCCCTGCATGTAAATCTTTACACACTTCGGCGGCATGCCACTCTGACCCCTGCTGATCAGTCGGTACAGCCTTACTGGCGGGGCACGTCACTCTCCCCAGACACACAGATGTCAGTTCACATCACAGACGGCATGTCAGGATCGATCCCTCACGATCGGCGGGACAGCCTTACGGGGTGTAACACCTACCCCGGACACTGGATACAAAAGGTACACCATGTACTTGGTGACTTTACACATACACGATATATACATTTCACACACACATGTGTTTACAGGGCTGTTTTACAGTCACTTGATACACAATACTACCACTATACATTACACATGAATGCTGACTGAATATTATTACGCCAGTATACTAGCTTCCTCACTCCAAACCTGCCACACCTCAAATATAAGATAAAACAGACATTACACTACTTGTGATCTTGACAGTCTGGTGCAGACTCGATAATTGACAGACCACCGCCATATAGCTGCCGATTTTGCTGAGTGTAAAACAAAACTAACTCACTCACTCCCTATGGTGTAGAACGATGTACGTGATGTCAGTGGGGCGTAGTGTAGCCTAGTGGTTAAAGCGTTCGCTCGTCACGCCCGGGTTCTATTCCTCATATAGGTACAATATGTGAAGCCCATTTCTGGTGCCCCCCGCCGTCATATTGCTGGAATATTGCTAAAAGCGGCGTAAAACCAAACTCAGTCAGTCAGTCATTTCTGGTGTCCCCCGTCATGATATTGCTGGAATATTGTTAAAAGCGACCTAAAAAACAACTCACAACTCATGATGTCGGTCACTGGATTGTCAGGTCCAGACACTTATATTTACAGAACGACTTCGTTAAACAAACAAGCAAACACAAAACACTGAAATTACCATTCCTATTGTCTGTGGTATGTTATAAGTCGCTTTTTTTCTTCAGGACAAGGTTCAATGGTTCAATGGTGCCAGCGTCGCGATGGCCCTCATGTTCGTTGTATTCTTCGCCTTAGGACCAGGTGAGAATCTTTTAGTTACTCAAAGGCGGGACGGTGGGGTAGCCTAGTGGTTAAAGCGTTCGTTCGTCACGCCGAAGAACCGGGTTCGTTTCCCCACATGGGTACAATGTGTAAAGCCCATTTCTGATATCCCCTGTCGTGATTTTACTTGAATGTTGCTAAAACCAAACTCACTTACTCACTACTCAAAGGCATCGGCTGGCCATCCTCGCTGATTTGGTGACTGATGCCATAGTGTCTAAGTGGCATAAATCCAAGATCTTGATGTCAATCACTGAATTGCCAGGTCCAACTCGATTATTTACATACCGCTGTCATACGAAACTTTGAATAGGTTTTCACAATTTCGATTATATTCTCGTTATTTCAATTTTACTCAAAAGCTCGAAATTGTTTCTCGTTCCTTCGATTATTTTCTCGTTTGTTCATTTTTTTTCCGTTTTTCCTATCTTGTTTATTATTACTTGGATTATTTCAATATTACTTCGATTACGTTGATAATACTTTGATTGTTATTTTTCATTTTCTCATTTTTTCCGTTTCTTAATGTTTATTTTAAAAACTCTCATTTTCAAAAACAATATAAACAAATAAGCAGAAGTAATTCGAAACAACGAGAAAAAATCGAAATTTCAAAAACACAGTAAATATTCAAATAACGAGAAATTTCGGTGTAGAAAAATACTGAAGCTTCCATAGGAATACCATTGTGCTTTCTTAGTGACGTGTCCCGTGACGATCAGGGCTAGAATTGGTGTTCAGTAACCAATGTTGTCGTAAGAGGCGACTAACGGGATCGGATGGTCAGGCTCGCTGACTCAGTTGACACATACCATCGTGTCCCAGTTGCATAGATCGATGCTCACGATGTTGATCACTGGATTGTGTGGTCCAGAGTCGATTATTTACAGATCGCCGACAGATACCTGGAATATTGCTGAGTGCGGCGTAAAACAACAAACAAACCAATCGTAGTGGTCTGTCGATCACTTAGTGCTAGTTTGTCAAGGCCATATTCTTGTATTGTTGCTTCTTACGAACAGCACAGATATCTCGTATTCTTCCTGTCTAATGTAAACACTTTTCAATACCCAATAGTACAATGTACGTTTCAGATATGAGTCGAGGTGAAATGGACATCCACGATCCATGATAGCCACCCATGATGTGCTTATAGCATTGACGTCTACGTAGTTCTTATCGCGATCATAAATTGTACATTTCTAAACCAGACTGAATCATGTGTATATTTTCTGCGAAATTTCGAGTGATCTTTTCGGTTTTATATTCGCATACTTTCTCCTTGTTTCAAACAGATTTCTAGAGCTCAGCATTTTCTCATTATTTCAGTAATTTTCATTGTTTGTTGGACTCCGCCCCTCTAGCCCCCGCCCCCTAGCCCCTGCTGTTACAAGCTACTAATTGGTACCTCCAGCCCCTCGCCTGGCTGTTCTGTTAGCTGTACTCACTCCCCTGTAACTGGATTAACTGCTGGTCAGGTGTTGGTTGTGAGTAGGTGACGACCGGTGCTTGGTATAGATAATAGAGAATCACGGCTCAGCTGGCTGGAGTATGGTTTCACGCCGTTTTTAGAAATATTCCAGCAAAATCACGGCGGGGGACACCAGAAATGGGCTTCACAAGCACGGCTCAGTGACCATTATTGATCAGTAGATGATCACTGTTGCTAATAATTGACAAAACAAATATGAAGATTCTATATTTATTAACATTCACAAATATATTAATTCAGATCTTCACACATTGTATGAATGCAGAGTCAGATCAGTTTTACGCAACATACAAATTGTCCATCATATGTCCAATGGCACATAGGTATGAGTCAAGATTCCTCTATATACATATTGCTTCCTAAGTTTGGGAGCAGACTGTCCACGCTTAAGTTGCAAAACATTTCTTCCTGATCAGTGATCCATGATTCTCTATTATCTCCCTAAGTACCGGTAGCCATCTATTCACAACCAAAACCTGACCTAACGAGTTGTTACTTAACTCATTTTCTCGGGTTTATGTTTTGAAGTTTCTTAAAAAAATGATGTGTCGATTTTGTTTTCGTTACTCCTTCTATTTTCTCCTTCAATTACTTCTCGAAATTTCGATTATTTTATCGTTATATAATAAAATGGCTACAGCCATATCCTATAGATGTATGATATCTGTAAACATATCATCATGAAGGGGAGAACAATCTATCTCGATGGGGTGCCAGCTTTACTCTATGTGGGTGGGGCGGTTGGGTAGCCTAATGAATAAAAGCGTCCGCCCGTCAAGCTGAAGACCCTGGTTCGATTCCCCACATGGGTACAACGTGGGAAGCCCATTTCTGGTGCACCCGCCGTGAAATTGTTGGAATATTAATATTGCTAAAAGCGGCGTAAAGCCATACTCACTCACTCACTCACCATTTTCTATAATGATTAGAACGAAAACATTACATGTTGTACTGTCTGCTTTGAAAACAAAATTCCGCAATTATGGGTATGGATGATGGATCTGGTGGCTTTCCCATCACAGTTCTAAGCCTTATGTTTGTTAGTTGTTGCTACCACTACACAAAGATCTGAACTGATCTCATCACAAGCAGTATCAGAACAATGAACATGTAACGACCAATAAAGAGAGAAAGCAGCCCAAACATATTTGTTTCTAAAAGGAGAATTACATTTCTGAGTGAACTTTAAAAGATATTTTGAATGATTCTGAAAATTGAATAAAACAAAATTCTGGAATGTGCGAAGCAGTACTTCCCAAGGACTGTGGAAAGTCTCTAAATGTTTAACAAGCTGAAACGAGAGATAGACAATGACTTAGAACAATGACAATGATCAGTCATACAGACAGTAATTGTCTTATGACAACTGTGTTGTGTTAATTTCTGTTATTTATTTATCCGTGATATGTCATCAACAGTCATATTGGACAGCATCTGATTTGTGTATCATGCTTTTAAATCAGTAACATTTCTGCACCATAGTGGTGATTTCATTGCAGTAAATGTTGATGTGATGTCGGAAATTAAAAAAAGCTGTTTTTAGGCTGTTACTCTGTATCCCTAAATTTTTACACAATTGCAAATAGCATATGTCGAAATAACCCACATCGGCCTAACTGGGCGTTCAGTAGGATGCGTAAGAGGATATCCAGAAAAGCATGTTTACTGGTAAAATCGGGCAAAACTTAGAAAATACGAATAGCTGCTGATAACAATAGATCAGCCTATAGATGGCTAAGATGGCTAAGCCAGTTATGGCGACGGACCGCCGACTCACCTTGCATGAAAGACAGACAGACAGACAGATATTTTATTTCAGTCTCACCTCACATAAAATACATATATAAATATATTTAAAAAATATAGCATATAAGTGAGCCACCCTTTAAGGGTTATGAGAGACTAATGTTTTAATACATTATAAATACTAAATAATAAATATAGGTATATACAGTGTAAAATCTATCCGTATAAAATATGTTTTCTTCTTTGCAAGATATAAAAGCAGGTTTTGGCACTGAAATATACATGGTGTTTAAAAAGTAAAACTAATTTATCATCATCACAAAGATCTAAGAAGTTCGGATAGCTAAAACAGACATTTTCATATAAACTTTCACGCAAATCATCATACATAGGGCAATACAACAGAACGTGTCTTTCATCCTCAACACTCTCACTGCACTGAAAACATACCCTCTCATTCACATTCACATTTGTATATCTGCCGGTTTCCAAATGCAGAGGAGCAGTACCTGATCTGAATTTGGAGAAGGCAGAGCGGTAAGAACGGGGCATACTCATACTCACATAACTTTCACAGCCATACACATCCTTAAACATTCGATACGTTCGTAATTTATTACCTCCCGTTCTACCGCTTGGCTTGTGTAATAACTCATACCAATCATTCACATACTTCTGCATACAAATATCTCGCACCTTCTCGCATACCCGTTTAACATTAACATCAGCTTCCACACTAAGGCCCCATTCATTTAACCTTGCTTTTACTCGGAAATTCCAATTTCTCACACATCCACTCGCACAACTCTCCGACCATATAAATACATACTTATTTATTCTAAAAGACATTTTTCTAAAACGACAGTATTGTCTAACAATACATATCCATTGTCTAACAATTGGAGGGATCCATCCCATGTCTCCATTCACTGCAACGTTAGGAGCATATTTACCCTCCCCAAAGAAAAATCTCAAAGCACGATGGTGGACAGCATTTACTGCGGATACCTCCCGATGTCCCCATATAGAAGCCCCATAACTTAAAACTGACCACACCATCGTATCATATAACTTTGTATAAGTTGTGCTGCCTACAGGCACAGGGGATCATCGAAAAGATATTTTATGTTTTTTCATGTGCGTTGTGTATGTCTCATCTATTGGTTAACATCTTACGTGTCTTTCTGTCATAAAGTTTATGTTTAGATGTAACAGAGTATGATACCCATACAAAACCTGAAATTAGCCATCGTATTAAATGTCTCAAAATGTACAGGTGACATGACCACCCGAAGATCGACAGGACTGGACATTATTTTTAAATTGTTATAACAAGGCAATTACTTCCCTAGTTTAATTCCCCTAAAGGATTATCTTATCTTAGCTAATATCTGTATCCCCCAGCCCGACCCCAACCACCTTCTGCGTCACCCGTCCTGGTTTTGCTTTTGAGACGATCCCTCCTACCTGTTGTTTATTTATAGTGATAGTGAGACTCCATGGTAGCTGCATCATTAATAGTTTCAGTCTTAAAGTAATTATTGTTTACGTCAGCTATCGTTTATAATGAAATTGATATTAATTTCAAAACGGACATTTAAAAAGTTTCCTTTGTAATACAATATCATCACACACTAATTTGCATAAAGCCATGGTCTGTTCCAAATAAGTCGCTTTCGACTTAGAAAAAAACTGCATTGCTCATTTCTGCACTAATCTCTCCTCGGTAAAGTCCTTTTTCTACGGTTCCCATCTCTCTACCTCTGAGACTGTAGTTAGGCCAAACTTAGTTTAACAGATATTTCACACTTTCACATATTAACTACATAAATTGTAGATATAAATGCGAAAAAACAGGGTTTTTTTCTATTTCCAACAGAACTTTAGTGACTTGTACTCATCCTTGGCTAACTGCTATTTTGTCACACAGATGTGAGCTCCAAGGTTCCAGTGATACTTTACTTTTTCTTTCTAGTTTTGTTCATTCAAAATAGCAAAGATCCATTTTTAAATTATGTATCATATTTCATATACCAAACCGAAACGGACCGCACCGAAGACCTTGTACCGCAATACGTACCGTACCGTGATTAGAGCTTACCGTTTCACCTCTACAAAATAACAACTTTCATCAGATCAATGAACCCTACGCCATGTCTTCAAGTTGCGGCTTCCTCGAAGCCTACACCACGACTGACGTTCAGGTCTAATAACTTTGCCCATCTGTAATGAAGAGACAACTGCAGTGTTGTACAAACTATCAACCAAAGCATATATTTGTTTATTTTTGTTTGTAGGTTCCATACCCTGGTTGATAGTGGCCGAGTTGTTCTCTCAGGGGTCGAGATCATCCGCCATCAGCGTGTCTGTCCTCGTCAACTGGGTCGCCAACTTCTGTGTTGGGTATGGCTTTCCCCACATGCAGGTTTGTTCGTTTTGTTTTTTTTTTTTGTTTGTTGTTGTTGTTGTTGTTGTTTTTGCGGGGTTTTTTTTTTTTTAACGACGCTCTCAGCAATATTGCAGCTACTTGGCGGCGGTCTGTGGATAATAGAGTCTGGACCAGACAATCCAGTGATCAACAGCATCAGCATCAATCTAGGCAATTAGGATACGATGACATGTGTCAACTAAGTCAGCGAGCCTGACCACCCAATCCCGTCCGTCGCCTCTTACCACAAGCATGGGTTGCTGAAGATCAATATTCTAACACGATCTTCACGGGTTACTTCACTGTTCGTTTGTTGGTCACACATTGAAACAAACTTGTCAGCGCAACTGTTTTAGTATATCTTCAGCATTTGTTGGCATATGATAACAGTCATTGATGGGTTTTGGGTGGACGAGTTTGTGGGTGCGTGCGTGCGTGGTCTTCACATATTGTACCATGTGGGGAATCGAACCCGGCTCTTCGGCAAGACGAGCAAACGTTTTAACCACTAGGCTACCCCATCGCCCCACTTAAATAGTAAACACGTGTGCATTATGTATGGAAAGGCTTGCATGGCCGTTTGTTTGCACCCGTGAAGGTCCGGGTTGATGTATGTATGTATGTATGTATGTATGTATGTATGTATGTATGTATGTATGTATGTATGTATGTATGTATGTATGTATGTATGTATGTATGTATGTATGTATGTATGTATGTGTGTGTGTGTGTGTGTGTGTATGTGTGTGTGTGTGTGTGTGTGCGTGCGTGCGTGCGTGCGCGCGTGTGTGTGTGTCAGTGTGTGTATGTATGTATATATGTGCGCATGAGTACGTTATTGCGTATGTACGTGTACATGTTTGTGCGAGAATGTCATAGGGTAAGCCTGTGATTGTGCATGTGAGTTCGTGATTGTACGATATGTGTGAATGCAGGATTGCGTGAGGGGTTGAGTGAGTGCATAATTGCGTGTTTGCGTGTGAGTGTGCACGTTTACGTCAATATGGTGAAGTGCTTTTATAACTTTTGTGTGATTAAAATATCATGTTATTAATCTGGAATGTATGTAATGGTATGTTTTATTTGTATTCTCTTAGTTTATTGTATTACTGTGATAATGCTTGTTATTTTTAGTGTCTCATAGGCCAAATGGCCGGGTGCTTTTTGTGTTTAATGTATATCTTTAATGTAATGTACTGTATTCTATTGCAAAAGCACGTGACACTTTAAAAAAACTCTCTCTCTCTCTCTCTCTCTCTCTCTCTCTCTCTCTCTCTCTCTCTCTCTCTCTCTCATCGTACCCCAGTTGCGTATATTGATGTTCATGCTGTTGATCCCTGGATTGTCTGGTCCAGACTTGATTATTTACAGACCGCCGCCAGATAGCTGGAATATTGCTGAGTGTGGCGTAAAACTAAACTCACTCACTCACCGTTTGTTTGTATGTGCGGAATCGAACTCGAACTTTCGGCCTTACGTACAAAAGCTTTCGCCACTAGGTTACACCGTGTTCCCATTGGGAGTGGGTGACCACTATTTATAATATTGCCAAGTGTTGCGACTAATATATCATATTCTTGAACAGCCAACATGACAGATGTGACACCCAGAACTGGAATTCAACAGGTGACTACACGTTCGTCGCACATTTCCACATAATTCCTGTCTCTTGTTTTCGTTTCCAGAAAGGTCTGATAAGCTACTCCTTCCTGCCCTTCACGGTGCTGCTGGTGTTGTTCTGGATATTCGTGTTCATGTTCCTGCCAGAAACAAAAGGCAGAACAATTGAAGAAATTTCATCAATTTGGCGAAAGGAGGGTGACAAAGAAGATCAGAAGCCCCGATCAGAAAGCTATTTGGTTTCCTATCAGAAGAATCCCGACAGCTTATAAAGAAATGAAAAGCGGATGAAGGGAAGAAAACTTCCTGATAGGAGAGCCATTTGGTTTCATACACAAATAATACTGATGTCACATGATCAAAAATACGAAGTTTTAAGGAAACGAAAACCAGAAGAATCAATTAGGTTTCATAAAGATGGAAACAATCAGAGCTTGAAGAAAAACTTTTCGATCAGAGAGCTGTTTGATTTCCTGTACACTAAAAACCTCTAATGTTGTATGATTAAAACAAGGCTTTTTACACAAGGAAGCGTAACCCAGAATCAATTAGGATGGGAACAAAGCAAACAAACTTTCAGATAGGAATGCAAGAACACTAATGTGGTATGATAAAAAACAAGACTTTTAAAAAGAAACAAACAGACACCACAGACGTCAAGCACTAGACGTTTATTTAATATAATGCTTCCAAAGAAATCTCTCCATTTATGGTTAAACAGTGATTTTATGAATGTTTCCATCAACAATGCCATGGATTACGAGAAACGTCACCCAGTGTTAGTAACACTGTTATAAAACTTTAATATACTGTATGGTGACATATTTACCCAGTGAACTTTGTATTATAAGAAGAAAGTAATAACACTGTTTAGCTGTAATAACATCCGACTTGTAGTTGGGTGTGGCCGCCATACAAATACCGTATGTGTATATTCTATCTTGACGCTCCAACAATATTGGAGATGAACTTCATATCCTGCTAATATACAATAGAGACTGGTCTGCTTTCTACTATATATACTTAACCTACAAACAACTGAAACCTTTATACGATTTTTTGTTTCTTTGTTTATTTGATGGTTAACGCCGGCGCTCTGTAAATACTTAAGTGGGGCGGTGGGGTAGCTTAGTGGTTAAACCGTTCGCTCGTCACGCCGAAGACCCGGGTTCGATTCCCCACATGGGTACAATGTGTGAAGCCTATTTCTGGTGTCCCCCGCCGTGATATTACTTGAATATTGCTGACAGAGGCGTATAACTAAACTCACTCACTCACTCATCCCGTGTTGCCGATTCCGAATCATGTGTCCACTCATGATCACTCTAGCTTTGAATCTGTGAAGTTCTACCCGTGAATATCCGGGCTAGTGCACGTTAAAAAAGGGTGGGGGGTGGGGGGGGAGAGGGTTTTTGTTATATTTGAAATTTACACTGAAACGAGCGTTGCTGTACATTTCAGTGATAACATCAGACTGAAAAGTTATTCTGATATTGTTTTAAATTCAATTAATAGATTTTAGCATGCGGCATCATTCACGTCCGACACGGCTACGTCCAGTTGGCATACTAGTGTTGGAAGGTGGAGCACGACAGAACATTGTTGTACGAGCTGTTGCATAGATTACAGTCACAAACAAATAACGTTGATCATTACACAATGCCATTTAGAAAGAGGTCAAATGTGTACTTTACTAAGAAAGTGTAATTCCAAATATAACGTATGTTACATTTGGACACGTTCTAAGTGGCATTGTGTAAACATAGCTTTCGGCCGTGGGAGCCGTGGCAATTTATACTTGTGAGAGGGGTACACAAAGTCCGCAGTCCAGACTACCAGTTGTCCGACTTCCTTTTTGTGGAAGTGGCGGTGGCTGAGCGCGGTGGCTGACTTTGTGAGCTGGCGATTAGGTGCCTGACTCTGAGGGTGTGGGTTCGAGTCCTGGATGGGACTCAACCCAACAAAAGTACCAGAATCTGTACTTCTTCTTCTTCATCTTCACGTGGAAGATGTAATATCGGATCGTATTGATGCCGTCTAACATCCATTTCAGAAATGACATCAGGAAAATATTTTACTGCTTCAGAATCGATGGACACTGTTAGGTTGTGAGGTAAAATCAAAGAGGAAGCCATCAGCAACAGGCACGTATGACGTCATGTCACGTGATACGTATACACCCCCCCCCCTGCTAATTAACTGTCGGGTGTTTCCATAATAGGCGGAAACACGAGTACGTTTTTTTTGTTTTTATTGCGATTTTACATTTTTTTGTCCAATTTCAATCACGGAAGTTAACTTTTAGAATGCCTTTACCCCTATCAAAAGTTTTGTTTTCGTTCGTATTCTTCTTTAACTAAAAATGTCGGAAGCACACGTAGAATCTCCAAAACAAGCATGGTGACCCCAAAGTGAGTAAGTGAGTTGATATTTAACGTCACATCGGCAATATTTCAGCCATATCGTGACGAGAACAATTAATGATTATATCATATATCAATAAAATTAGAAATTAAAACCTGTTGACGAAGGACAGTAAAACTACTTGTGTATCACAGATATCCATTTAAAACTAGTAATTAAATCTAAAACATGTTAACTAGACATGAGATGACCCCCAATACGTCTGAAGAAATATTAAATCTGGATTCGTCTCCCGTGCTCCACCACAGCCGAGTTTGATGGACAGAATTCAGGTGACACCTTTGAAAGTTTTCTCGACTACTTTGCGTCAAGATAGACAGTATCTCCTATAGACGTAAGCGGTTCTTGACTGTTGCAGAGGAGTGGATGGCCTGAGAGAGTAGTCACTGCAGTCTGGAACCTGTGCCGGAGTGAGTGAGTTTAGTTTTACCCCGCACTCAGCAATAATCCAGCTACATGGCGGCGGTCTGTAAATAATAGTACGCGATATTGCCCTGATTATTGCAATATATTGCAATAACTTAAGAGATATTGCAATACATATTGTGTGTATTGACTGGAAGGTTTCTGCACAAGTGCGTATGTAATAAATTCATAATAGCTCTCTGTGTGCGACATTATCTTCTTAGTTGCTGTTACACCATACTTTCAGGCTCCCTGTCCCCATTGTGTATGGCTGTATGCCAATGGTTTGCAGATAAATAAAATGATACAGAGCTTTAAGGTGGAATATTTAATTGAAGAATTGCAACAAAGTTTTGCGAACATAATGATAAAGATAATAGAATAACATGATAAGGTCTCCTCATAGTGCAAGCACCTTGTTCATCATTACTGAAGCAATCAGGCATGTCAAATAGCAAAACAAAGGGATTACTGGGGGGCCGTATCAGTATAAACCTGTGACACAAAGTTATAACTTTAATTTTTCAATACAATAACATACTCAATAGTACTTATTTTATAAAAAATACAATTTATATTAACTATATATACACACACTCATACTAAAATATCAAAACTTTACCAAAACAATAAACATTGGGCTTTATAGCACTGCATGAACTCCATGTTATGTTCGCACTGAAAAACATTACTAAAACATCCAACTAAATGTGACACAGTATCAGCAAATTCCATCGAAGTTTTCACACCGTTTGCAAGTAGAGTCTTCTGACGCAGGATTTCAACATCTGTGTGTCGATACTTCTTCATTTTTTGGGGGGCCTGCGTAGCACCATGTGGAATCTGAACTATTGTCCTCTCAGTGTGACTCTGCTCTTTCCGGATAAGATCAATGAATCTATATATATTGGGGTGGTTCTGGCCAATATTACCAAGTCTTGCACGCCAGCCTTCGAAATGAATTGTGCTCCTGCCACCCGGTTGATGGTTGCATAACAGCCTGCCTTGCAACAATGTACACTGGTGTTGTGTCTCTTCCGTATTCCGAACTTCTAGACAAGGATACGACCACCTTACGTATTAGGAATGAACTCATGAACTCATTTTCCTGTGTAATATATAGCTGTTAACAGCATGAGTTTTATTCAGTGACATTAATTGAACATGGATAATTGGTGAGTTGATATCAGTCTGCCAATATATCAGTTTGGAATCTCTCCCTGGGCCATTAGTTTAGTTCATGAAGCGATCCCGTTCCTTATAACAAAATCCTGTACAGGTTGCCTGCACAGTGAGGATAAACCATCATGATTTTCATGGTCAGTGTTGCTTGCTTCAACACTGACTGACTGACTGAGTTTGGTTTTATGCCGCTTTTAGCAATATTCCAGCAACATCACGGCGGCGGACACCAGAAATGGGCTTCACATGTTGTACACATGTGGGGATTCGAACCCGGGTCTTGGGCGTGACAAGCCAACGCTTTAACCACTAGGCTACCCCACCGCCCCTTTTGCTTCAACAGAGTGCTCTTACATACAGGATGTAATGATTGTTACTGTATGTCAGTGATTCTTTCAGATTCAACTCCAATATAAACATGTGTTGACATGAACTATTGCAAAATGAAACAAAAACATGATTTAGGTGAAGTACTTGCGCTTACAAACTCATGTGACCTCAAATGACTATAAGATCCTTGACTGGAATGTCATGATACAGTCCTACAAAATTTATAAGACAAAATTGATAACATATGTCCCATTATGAAACAAACAAAAATAATGAAATATTTTGAATTGTGAAATGGTCCCTCAGAGCCAGAGGCTCTACTAATAAGGCCAAATAGAACATTGGCCCATTTGAGGCCACTTAATTCCTCCAAACTGTCACATATGAAACCATTCAAACCCACAAAACTTGGTAGAAAATTTGGCTCTTTCGGAGCTACTTACAAAGACACTTCTACTTGTAAAATGTTACATGAAACCAACAGAAATAAAAGTATATTTGGCACTTTTATATATATTGTTGCCATGGAAGTCAAGGAAATATAATTCAAAGGGGGCTAACTCTGGATGACCCAATATATTGCAGAATATGAACCATATCGCGATAATCGTATCGCGACATACTGTACCGGTATATACTGGTAATATTGCACAGCCCTATTAAATAATCGAGTCTGGATCAGACAATCCAGTGATCAACAGCATGAGCATCGATCTACGCAATTGTGATACGATGACACGTGGGTCGTGATGAGCGAGCTGTCTAAGGCGTCAGGCTAGTGATCCAGCAAGCGTGAGGTGACGGGATCGAGTCAACCTGTGGCCGGGTGTAAAAACCTTGGAGTCAACTTTGTGTGCAGACTATTTCAGTGTTGTCACAACCCTTAGTGTACAGTACACAACCCTGTGAACTTAAAAGAAACCACGAATCCGTTGGTAAATGACCAGGGCAATGCTCCTGAAAGCGATCGTAGCACTACGATGATCGTAACTCCCATACTTTAACACAGACTTACGACTGTCGTAGCGCTACGATCGCTTTGAGGAACGGGGTCCTGATGGTCGGGTACAGCAACGTGCAGTAAACTTGGACAAAGTACTGTGACAATGTGTTTCAATCCACCCAGCTGTGAATGGGTACCTCGTAAGGATGGAAAAGCCACATTAACTCGGTGCGCCTTGTAGCTGCAAGAGGGCGTCGGGGTAGCCTAGTGGTTAAGGCGTCCGCTCGTCACGACGAATACCCGGGCTCGATTCCCCACATGGGTACAATGTATGGAGCCCATTTCTGGTGTCCCCCGCCGTGATATTGGTGGAATATTGCTAAAAGCGGTGTAAAACAATACTCACTCACTTGTGGCTGCAAGAGTTGTATGATTCCCCCGGGGAGTTGAGATTGGTAATACGATGTACCATTTGAATTGGACATCCAATGATCGAGGGAAAAACAAAGCGCCTATTATATATGTGTGTCAACCAAGTCAGCGAGCATGACTACCCGATCCCGTTGGTCGCCTCTTACGACAAGCATGGGTTGCTGAATACCGGGGTCGCGGTGGGCGACTTGACTAAGGCGCCAGGTTAGTGATCCAGCGAGGTTGAGGTGACGGGATCGAGCCCACCTGTGACCGGGTGTAAAAACCTTGGAGTCCACTTTGTGTGCAGACTATTTAAGTGTTGTCACAAACCCTAGTGTACAGTACACAACCCTGTGCACTTAAAAGAACCCACGAATCCGTTGATATATGACCAGATGGTGGCCACATGAATACGTGCAAACACCTAGTTGCGGGTACAGCAACGTGCAGTGAACTTGGACAAAATACTGTGACTATGTGTCCCAGTCCACCCAGCTGTGAATGGGTACCTCGTTGGGATGACAAAGCCACAATAACTCGGTGCGCCTAGTGGCTGCAAGAGTTGTATACTCCCCAGGGAGTTGAGATTGATAATACGATGTACCATTGAGATTGACATCCAATGATCAAGGGAAAACAATATTAGCGCCTTGAGCAAGCACTAGTTGCCTGGATATGTGCGCTATATAAGTATCATATAATAATAATAATAATATAATACCAATTATCCATCTGTCCTGTCTTGACGTTTGTGGCGTTGTCACATGAGCTATCGACAACTACATTGTTATTCAGACAACACTTCGACAATGCTGAAAAGGCGTACCAGTGGCATTGGAAATGTGAAGCCACCAGCCCCCGTTCCTCAAAGCTATCGTAGCGCTAAGGTGATCGTAACTCCCATACTTTAACATACACTTACGACTGTCGTAGCACTACGTTCGCTTTAAGGAACGGGGCCCTGGCGTTTAGCCATTCCCCAATGGGCCATCTCAATAGCCTCATGACGTTTTCAGCGGACTGCATTTACTTGAGCATCGATCTACACAATTATAGCATCGATCTACACAATTATCCGGGTTAGAATTAGTCCTCAGTAACACATGCTTGTCGGAAGAGGAGACTAACGGGATCGGGTGGTCAGGCTCGCTGATTAGGTTGACACATGTCATCGGTTCCCAATTACGTAGATCGATGCTCATGATGTTGATCACTAGATTGTCTGGTCCAGACTCGAATATTTATTGGGATACTTGTGAGTGCGGCGTTAAACAACAACCAACCAACCAACAGTTCATACCCGTCACATATCCATTCACAAAGCAATGACAAAACACTCCACCCATGACTGTTTGACAAGTGGGATGACTTCATCCTTCCAAGGGCGGTGGGGTAGCCAAGTGGTTAAGGCGTTCGCTCGTCACGCCGACGACCCGGGCTCGATTCCCCACATGGGTATAATGTATGTCCCAAGCCGTGATATTGCTGGAATATTGCTAAACGCGGCGTAAAACTAAACTCACTCACTCATACTTCCAGTGCAGCGTTAAACAACAAACAAACAGAAAACAACGAACTATTTAGGTCAGATGAATAAATGACGTAAAAGCTGGCACATGTATGTGTTTATTGCCTAGCGAGGTTTCACTGGTGTTTGGCGAGGTTTCACTGGTGTAGTGTTGTCGCTTGGATTTTCTACTTTCAAGTAAAAAAATTGATGGAAGCAGTGAAAATGCTGACAGGACTAACACCTTGACAGTTGCCTCCCGTTGTCCATGATGCAACCCCCACAATGTCTCCGTTACACCGTATCGGATTTCCAATGTCCCCCTGCAGAAGAGAAAAAGATATACAATGCTTTCTTCAGTTGCAGCAGTGAGTGCGTACCCGCCCCTAATAGCTCAGAATACATCCATGAGTAACTCTCTAGTCTATATGGCATCTGCTTTCACGAACAGGTAGGGTTACGAAACCATAACGGGGTAAGCTGATGGGGGTAACCATTGCGGGTAACTTGATTGGGTAACTTGATGGGGTAAGCTGATGGAGGTAACCACGATGGGGTAACCGTGATGGGGGTAACCATGAGGGGTAACCTGATGGGGTAACCATGATAGAGTAACCTGATGGGGTAACCATGATGGTGTAACCTGATGGGGTAACCATGATGGTGTAACCTGATGGGGTAACCGTGATGGGGTAACCACGATGGGGTAACCGTGATTGGGGTTACCATGATGGGTAACCTGATTGGGTAACCTGATGGGGGTAACAATGATTGGGTAACCTGATGGGGTAACCATGACGGGGTAACCTGATGGGGTAACCATGACGGGGTAAGCTGATGCGGTAACCATGGCGGGTAACCTAATGGGGTAACCATGACGGGGTAACCTGATGGGTAACCATGGGGTAACGACGATGGGGTAAACACCATGGTGTAATCATAATGGGGTAACCTGATGGGGAAACCGTATCCCGACGAAGTCCTGACTTGTCCCTGGCATGGGGACATTGTTCGAAAACCATTTCTGGATTAATGATGCGGAAATTATTATGTCATAAAGTTTAGTTCACAACATATCATCATACCATGATTTGGTAGCAACGATAGGGTAACCTGATGGGGGTAGCCACGATAGGGTAACCTGATGGGGTAACCATGCTGAGGAAACCATAACGGGGTAACCTGGTTGGGTACCTACGATGAGGTAACCTGATGGGGTAGCAATGATAGGGTAACCTGATGGGGTAACCTGATGTGGGTAGCTGAGGAAACCATAACGGGGTAACCTGGTTGGGTATCAGGTAACCTGATGGGGTTACGAAGTCCTGACCTTTCCCTGACGTGGGGAAAAAATTTAGAAAACCATTTGTGGATTAATGCTGAAATTATTAAGTCATAAATGTTTGTTCGCTAATAACAACAATTGCAGGAAAACAACATCTTTCAGTGTTAAAATATAGATACCTCTGAGATGACATCTCCTTCGACACACGTGTCAGTTGCTGTGATGTTGGCGCCCAAGGAGGACACACGTGCTTGGCAGTCAGCTCTGCTAATCAGGGTGACATTTCTCTGCTGGAGGATAGGGATGAAAGTACCATCTGAAGAAGAATTGGAAAATACTTTCTGAAATGAGTTCACTCAGAATTCTACCGTGACTATGTGAAATATTCGAAACTGTCTGTACAATCAATAAAATTAGACACTATCAATCCTGGATTAAAAATGCATCTGATTTCATGACCGCTTTACTGTGCATATATACAACACTGCCGCTTTACTTTAGCTTTACCACCAACATGGCTAATATCAACACAACAGACGTGATGGAAATGCTTATAAAACATTTATTAAACTCGAAAAATACAATCACATGATTTTTCCTCCACAACTATTAGGAAACCTCGCTGTCACATTAACTTCCATTATATATATTCAAACTCAATTACAATGCACAGCCCCAAACATAAACAAACAATATCTAACTTATAAATCAGAAAGCCTTGTAAAAATACACCCCTATCCTACAAAAATTGCAGCAAAACGTTAGTAAACCTTTGCCTACCTGGTAAATGGTATATTTGTTTCCGTTTAGAATGGGAAATTCCAAAGATAGCAATCAGGAAAAACAATTGTAAATCTGGACCAGACAAACCAGCGATCGACACCATCTACGCAACTCAGTGATCAACATCATGACTACAATCCAGTGATCAACATCATGAGCACACCTGGGATACGATGGCTTGTGTCAACCAAGTCAGCGAGCCTGACCACCTGTTCTCATCAGTCGCCTGGATCGGGTGGTCATCCCGTGAAGATCCGGGTTAGAACCCATGCTTGTCGTAAGAGGCAACTAATGGGATCGGGTGGTCAGGCTCGCTGACTTGGTTGACACAAGCCATCGTATCCCAGGTGTGCAGATCGATACTCATGATGTTGATCACTGGATTGTAGTCATGATGTTGATCACTGAATATTGCCTAGTGCGGCGCTAACAAAAAAGAAACCGGTCTTCCATAAAATAGCCTTACTCTCTAACGTTTCCCATCCAAAGATGTCACACTGTAATCCAGCGTGATCTACGGCAAGCCCAATAAAGGGAAGGCCATTCACACTGACTGGGTGGTCTGTCCTTAACTCGACATTGTCGTTTCTGAATCCAGGACCATTAGCACTGAATCCAGCATCCTAAAACATTAAAGGCTATTTAAAGGCACAGTGTCACACCATATATTTTTATAAATACATATTGCATTTCTCTCAATAATACTAACTATCAGCCCTCAGGGAAGCTACCATATACTTTGTTCCAAACAAAATTACGTAGGGCCATTAGTAGTGATCCTGGAATCCTAAAAATATATAAAAATATTTAACATTACAAAATCAACAAACAGGTGACTGATATTGAGAGCGTCACCGAAGTACGATAACAAGCGTTTGACAAGACACTGGAACCATTCTGGTTTGGCATCCATGCCTGTTATGAGCTGATGTTAGTCGGACCCTGACGTTGGGTTATTGTCTCGTTTGTCGTTGAGCTGAATGTATTCAGATGCATAGGTTTCCTGGAGTGTGGAATGTTTTCATCAGAGGCGACTTCATGAACGTTGTAAGAAAGATAGATGAAAATTAAAAGTACTGACTCAAGTTTCTAGTTGTATGCATTGTTATATGCTATATTGTTAGCATATGTCTTTAAAAGTAGAAAACGATTTTTAGACAATACAATGTAAATATGGGCTATAGATCGCCAGCAACTGAAGGTAGATCACCATAAAAGGGACCATGGGGACTTACAGTGCCTTTGCTACCAACATGGACCCTAGCTGGATTTATACCATCCCTTCAGCCACTGGCTATTGTAGTGAAATCTAGCCATAATTTAAACTTACAAAAATACTACGTTTAAAAAATCTGGTAAGAATAAATTTACCTTGAAGACCAAAACAAGTTATAAATTCATGACACATAACACTCATTCTCAATAAGGGGTGCGTGCTTCTCTTAAACTTAATTAGCAAATGTTATTATCAGTATGGTTGGATAATGGTACCAATCTGACCAACATACATCATGCATAAACAGTCCAATAACCCTAAAGGTATAGTTGTTAAGCTACGGTAATACGTCAAGTTGAAATGTTCGTTACTGACGCCGGTTGCAAACCCGTACTCTGCACTGTAACTTCACGCAGTTTGGTATACTAATACCTGAATATCAGTACATCAGGTTATTGATCTTGGTCAAAAGTATAATTTTATGCAAATTGTTAAGCCAGTGCATTTTCTTTAGATAAATGAATTTAGTCTAATGCCATGACGCCACTTTTGAGGAAATGTCCGTGACTAATTTTCAGCTTGACATGTACATGTACATAATCTTCCTCATTCATTTTGAAGTGATACGGTGTATGTTTACAGTTATGGTATTTGTCATTGTAAACAAAAACATTTACTAATCTAGGTAAACCTAATTTCAAAATTTGCCACGTGCCTACAATGTAGAATGCACATACCCGAAGAACACTCGAGATGGCGGTGATCGTTGCTCCAGCTAAGACCGACAGGTCATTCGCATCAAACACAAGCCTGTAGTCACTGCTCATGGCGCTGAAATATAAACCAAAGTTGGCACGTCTCATATTCCCACCTCCTAACTAGTCTTGGGAATTGGTTAAAATCACATAACTGATGATTGGTTCATTACAACCGATCAAGCATAGAAAATAATTGTTTAGCGAAATTTTCCTGGTTCTTATTGTTAATACACAAAAACATAAAGGAAAAACATGTAGTTCTTTGGGAAGTTTTTTGCAAATTGCACATCTTTAAAAGATGACTAGTATGTTAGGAACATAAATTTCTTGGGGTCTTTAAGATAAATTCATTTGTGACTTGGAACGAGCTTGTAGTGCTCATAAAATGTAACAGACAAAACCAACCATGTGAAAATATTGTTCATGCAAAAAGTGTTCCAGGATCGTTTGTGTTCGATAATGAGAAAACATGATCGATTGCTTGGTCGTTTAGTCACTGCGAACAATCTTCGATTTTTTCAATTAATCGGACCACCACTACTCCTAACTGCAAAATGTGGACTAATCTAAAAAAGCATACATGTTGTTTATATCTGCTTTGTCCAGTGGACCTTGTTAAAACGTTGAACCAGACAATCAAATGACTGACATCATGAGCATCGATTTACGTCACTCTGCATACGACGACATGCACAGGCCAACTTTTTACCATACATTAACAGAGATGCCAACCCCAAAGTTGCAAATAGTAGAAGATCAAAATTAGTAGTTTCACCATAAAATTACTAGTCAAGTAAATACTTAAAATCATGATGGATTCTGAGAAAGATGTGAGGACACTTATCAAGAGTGAAACTTTCATTCAGCAGATTTCCAAATTATCAGTATTACATTTCTTCTTGTCGTCTCTTTTAGGCGAAAATGTATGTTTTTTGTCTATATATCCGAATTTTAATGACTGTTCTTCAAATTTCGTAGAAGTTCTAGTTCAGTGGTATTGGCGTAGTTTGAGGCTAAAATTCGTAGCGACTACGATAAAATCGTAGAGGTTTGCATCTCTGCTTTAAGCCCATTGCAATTGGAAGTTAAGAACCATATAATACTGAGCTGCGTTGGTCATTGTCCCAAATCATGTCCTGGGTTATTTTGGATATGATGACATTAACCAACAAACAACTGATACCGTTAGTCGCTGCAAGCATGGATTAACAAAGACCAATCCTAATAGTTTCTTATTCATCTGTGAGAAGTATAGCAGGGTTTATTCAGAATCAAATCACAGGTTGCTTTGCGGCAGTGGTCATTGTCCCAAATCATGTTCCAGGTAATTTTGGATACGATGACATCGAACCAACCGATAGCGTTAGGATGGATTAACAAGAACCATTCCTAACAGTTTCTTATTCATCTGTGAGACTCAAATATCATAACAATAGATACCTTTGAGGATAGCACTGAGCTGCAGTCACGCCAACGTTAGTTCCAGCTACCATTCCACAAATATGGGTCCATACCCCGGATATATTTTGCTGCAGACTCCCAACCCAAGGAAAGTCATTCGTAATAACATCTGTCCCACCAGAAAAACGTTTTTGAGGAACAGCTTGAGATGTAGCTGAAATAGTAAACACATAAAACAGTAAACAGTCGAGTCTGGCAAAACAGTAAGTGAGTGTTAAAATTTGATGTTACATTGGCAATATTTCCGCCATATGACTGTTACGATACATTAAAATTGGTTGATTAATGGATTGTTGTTTATCGCCGGTCAGGCTCGCTGACTTGATTGACACATGTCATCGTATCCCAGTTGTGTAGATCAATGCTCATGATGTTGATCACTGGATTGTCTGATGGGGACTCGATGGTTTACAGGTCGCCGCCATATAGCTGGAATACTTCGGAGGGACGTTTTTCAAATATATTTTAAACATTACACCTCAAATCATCCTGTTTATGAAGTTATTTCACTGTCCTTTCTTGAATAACAAAGAACCAATGTTCCAATAAAGGACCTGTGTAAGAAAGCTATGCTTATATTTTGTTCCGCACAACAACACTGAGGAATCAGTGCAAAATCTGTAGTCAGAAAACCATGACATATACATTTGGAAGCACCGTCTCCCTTAAGTAACATTATACTCGATCAAGGTTTGCATTGCATGAAGCACAGTGCAGACTTGGTTATTCCAGGTTTGCGTCTGTTTCTGTGAGTGAGTGAGTGAGTGAGTTTAGCTGTACGCTGCACTCAGCAATATTCCAGCTATATTGCGGCGGTATGTAAATAATCTAGCCTGCACCAGAAAATCCAGTGATCAACATCATGAGCATCAATCTACGCAAATGAGATACGATGACATTTGTCAACCAAAGTCACCGAGCCTGACCACCTCATCCCGTCAGGGGGCGGTGGGGTAGTCTAGTGGTTAAAGCGTTGGCTCGTCACGCCGGGTTCGAATCCCCACATGGGTACAATGAGTGAAGCCCATTTCTGGTGTCCCCGCCGTGATATTGCTGGAATATTGCTAAAAGCGGCGTAAAACCAAACTCAGTCAGTCAGTTCATCCGTCAGTCGCCACTAACGACAAGTATGGGTTGCTGAAGATCAGTTCTAACCCGGATCTTCACACAACTAAATATGAATCACTTTCGTGGTGAGCCCGGTGCTTGTCAACGTACCCTAAGCGGTTGTTTTTAGTTTAGAATTACAATCATCAGTTAGGACTCGATGATAATGATAATAGCCTGTAGGCTGTAATAATATTTCGTTGAAAAGACTGACTGACTCACTGAGTTTGGTTTTACGCCGCTTTTAGCAATATTCCAGCAACATCACGGCGGGGGACACCAGAAATGGGCTTCACACATTGTACCCATGTGGGGATTCGAACCCGGGTCTTCGGCGTGACGAGCCAACGCTTTAACCACTAGGCTACCCCACCGCCCCTCGATGAAAAGAACCCACTACTGATACATTGAAAAACTGTTACCTGACAAGCACATTAGTAGAACGATAGAGGTTCGACATTCTTGCTAGTCGTCGTTTAATGGCTGGAATAATCCTGATTTCGGAATTAAATGCCAATCGAAAATCAAGTTGGCTGCAATGATATTTCAATGAATAAAAACACTGCTGGTCAATTGAAAAAACTGTTACCTGACAAGCACATCAGGACAAAGATGTAGAGGTTCGACATTCTTGCTGTTCTGGAATTCTGTATATCCTCTGACGATGCGGCTGTTCCTAGACAGAAAACACCTCGGAGACAGAGTATTTAACGAAGTTCTTGACAGTGTGCAACCAATTTGATTGGGTATTCATAATGCCACGTAACAATACGATTGGATGTTCACATATGTTGTCAAACGCCGTGGGGTTCCAGGCTAATAGCCATGCCAACAGTATCAACATATCCAATTTCTTCACAGCAGGGCGAACGAAGCACCTGTTACAGTACCCGGTATGACACCGTTACACAGAACGACACGTTTCAAAGTGAGTGAGTGGGTGAGTTTGTGAGTATGGTTCTACGCCACTTTCAGGAATATTCCAGCAATATCAGGGCGGGTGAAACCAGAAACTGGCTTCACAAATTGTGCCCATGTGAAAAATTGAACCCGGGTCGTCAGCGTGACGAGCGAAAGCTTTAACCGCTATGCTACCCCACCGCCGCGTGCAGCGTAAAAATACAACCGTAAGCAAATGTTATAAGCAATGTAGTGAAGTACAGAGACGGTCAAGGACGTAGTATATTCATGGTAATAGGCAGTCGACGGTAACTTCCATACAGCACTTAAAAGTTTGACATAATATCTTGTTTAACTGCTTTGTGTAACGGGTTACTGGAAGTGGATCTTTATCGAAGGAATCATCATGTTTTTAAGTGAAAAGTATCCCCATCATCTGTTCATCAATGAAATCACGAGGCAAATCTATCCCACAATGGACAGGCCATGGCGATATCGTGTCAGGTATTTTGCAAGACGATATATACTCATGCCAATAATGGTTGTCACCCCTCCCCACCCCAACCCCACACACATCACACCCCACCCCACACCCCTCTCCAATTAAAAAAATTCGTTCGTTAGGTATCCCCATGTTGTTTATTGCGAGCCATAAAAGTTGAGAAGTGAGGTCTGCCTTAGAATGTTCACCTCGTTGATTACACAGGTCCTCTTACTGTCCTGCCTGGTTATAATGCCACCCTGGATATAATGCCACATTTTCTCCTGGTCAAACAACGGTGACATTAAACCAGGGTATACTGTAGTGATTGCAGATTGATGCTCTCCTATATTTGTAGGTCAGGACCCCGTTCCTCAAAGCGATCGTAGCGCTACGACAGTCGTAAGTCTATGTTTAAGTATGGGAGTTACGATCATCTTAGCGCCACCATCGCTTTGAGGAACGGGCCCAGGACTTCTTACAATAGCCCTACTCAACTTCAGTGACACAGAATGTTGGAATGTTGAAATTCCGGAACAGGATTATGAGTGAGTGAGTGAGTGAGTGAGTTACTATTTAACGTCACATCGGCAATATCTCAGCCATATCGTGACGAAAACAATCGATAAACAGGATTATGTGTTGACGTGAGTTTTAGGCGCCATTTCGACACCATCTGTCACAACTGTTCACGACATGTCAATGTTAATGTTTACAAATATATGCTCACAACTTTCTGACAAGATTACGATTATCCAAGAAGATCGAGCTGCTTTCGTCACCGCATCTTCCTTAATCAAATAATCACTCAAGCGAGTTGGATATTGAATTGTCTTCAATAACTAGCGTGGGAACAGGTGGTGTGTGCATTTAGCTCCCTGCTGCAAAGAGTTCATAAAGAGTTCATCTCACCTGAGTGTTTACGTGGCTTTTAGCAATATTTCAATAATATCACAGCGAGGGACACTATCTATGGGCTTCACACATTGAAGCCATGTGGGGAATCGAACAGGGTATTCGGTGGTTGTCGAAGTAAACGAGAAAATACTTTCCGTGTAACGTGATTAGTATTGTCCCTACACACATGCAGTCAAGTGATCGAGTTAAAATTAAACCATTATTAAACCAACAGACTTCACAATTGTATTGTTCTCATATGCGTACTTGGCGGTAGGGTAGCCAAGTGGTTAAGGCGTTCGCTCGTCACGCCGAAGACCCGGGTTCGAGTGTTATACTTCCCGTGTAACGTGATTAGTATTGTCCCTACACACATGTAGTCAAGTGATGGAGTTACAATTACACGTCGCATCGACATTGTTTCAGCCATCTAGCCGCGAGACCAAGTTTACACCTACTTACCAAATAGTTATTTACACAAAGTTCCACTCAAAAGCGAGTTTCTATATACATATTTTACCAATCACAGTATTATCTATTCACAATTTAGAACAGGGGCTGTAACAATATCAAAGCGGCTCAAGTCACGCACGCACGCACGCACGCACGCACGCACGCATGCACGCACGCCCAGATGTATTCACGTCGACAAATACATAATTATGAGGCCCAGCCTCGGTAGTTTTCAAGCTGCCGTCATTTAATTCCATTTATTATCAATTTAGAACTTTTTTAAGTCACGATATGGCTGAAATATTGCCGATGTGACTATAAATCTTAACTCACTCACTCACTCACTAAAATTGTCGTTATATAACTCACAGTCATATGACTGCGGTTTAAACCATTATTAAACCAACAGACTTCACAATTGTATTGTTCTCATATGCGTAAGGGGCGGTAGGGTAGCCTTGTGGTTAAAGCGTTCGCTCGTCACGCCGAAGACCCGGGTTCGATTCCTCACATTGGTACAATGTGTGAAACCCATGTCTGGAGTCCTCCGCCGTGATATTTTGCTGGAATATTGCTAAAAGCGGCGTAAAACCAAACTCATTCACTCACTCACTGATATGCGTAAATTAATTGTTCAAATATCTTGATTTGTACGCGAAAATAAGAAACTTTTGACCTTGTGCGTTTCTGTAATTCACAACATGCATTACGTTCGCTCATAATTCTAATATTTACTCTCCACCGTATCGTTCTGTTTAACTAATTCTCCAGCTAGCCACAAAGGGTACAGTAACAGGTGCTTCGCTCTCCCTGCTGTGGACAAAATTGAAACTCTGGCACTACTGCAATTGTTGTTCCCGAAATGCCACGGCAATGAAACAGCCAATCACATTTCTATATACCGTTAAACTTATTGTTAATGAATACGGGATCAAAGAGGTGTTTGTAGGCGAGGAATAGTCGTGTCCACGTTACACGATATAACTCCAGGACAGCAAGAATGTGGAACCTCTACATCGCTGTTCTGATGTGCCTGTCAGGTAACAGTTTTTCACTTGATCGGTAGTGTTAATGTTCTTCGAAGGACCATTGCAGTCAAAATGATTGCTTCGGATTTTAATAAATTGTTTCATTCGGTGATATTGCAGGTATTTAACGGTGACCTGTAAGTGACCAAGTCCTAACTTGTGACGGTTATTATGAATACCATACCACACCCGGGGTACGTTAACAGGCACCAAGCAAAACCAAACTTACTACGGAATCCACTGCTGTGGTGGTGTGTGATACGGTGGATAGAGCTCAGGTCA